GGTCCAGAGGCTGCAGGAGAGAGCACACGGAGGGGGCGCAGTGGAGGACGGGGAGGGGGCAGGCCTGGAGGCCAGCGGCAAGGGCGGGGGCTTTGCGGTGCTCTGGGAACAGAGACAATGAAGGATAAGACGGGGTCGGGCTGGCGGGAGTGGGGCCTGGAACCAGCGGCCCCAGGTCTGTGAACAGCAGCTCCAGGGAGAAAAATTGTTCTCCTTGGCCTCCGAGGATAGGACAACAAGCAACGGGCTTAAACTGCAGCAAGGGTGCCCGGATGGTTAAACTCTGGAATAAATTACTGAGAGAGGTTCTGGAATCTCCATCCCCGGAGGTAGGCAAGAGCACCTGTCAGGGATGGTCTAGACGGTGCTTGGTCCTGCCATGAGGGCAGGGGACTGGACTGGATGACTCTCGAGGTCCCTTCCAGTTCTAGGGTTCTATGAGTCTGCGATCCTATGAGTGTGCAGGGCCAGGGAGGTCTAAACTGCGCATCAACACAAACACACTGGTGCAGATTAAAAAGGAAACTAACGTATTAGCTGCTGGAGAGAGATTTTAAGCAATGAGGCATAAAAGCCAACATTAGCCTCAAGAAAAGAAAAATAAAATGCACGTAATGCCCACTCCACAAGCAAAGAGAATTCAAGCAAAGTCTCCTTCACCACATTTTCCACCCGTCTGACTGGCTGAATTTCTTTCAGTCAGGGTCTCTGCTCAGTCCAATGCTGATTCCTTTGTTTTCAGGTGTTTTCCTCATTATGGACAGACAGAAAAGGAGAGGGATGATTTGGGGTGTCTGCTTTCCCTTCTCAAAGTTTTCCCTCTTCTTTGAGAGTCAGCACAAACTTAGGTTCAGGAGACAGGAAGTCTGTGAAGCTGGGAACCTCAGAATGTCCCTTGTCTCCGAGGAACTGGCGTGTGGGCCAGACTTTGAGCATAGCTTAGTAATATCAGAGTGGAATCTTCTAACTTTACAGACAGTGCTGCCACACATATTTTACGGGAACAATAATGATCAGCAAATTATGAATTTTCAAATGATGCCTCACAAGGCAAACTGTGTACTAGATTTATCACAGTCTTTTAAAAGGGGGGAACAGAGTAAGGAAAGGTGGGGGCGGGGGAGTGATGGGAAGTAAGGACTAACCTGAATTGAGGTTAGATTGCAGGTCTCTCCAACCTCCTTCGCAACATGGAGAAACATCTGAAAGAAAGAAAGAAAGAAAGAAAGAAAGAAAGAAAGAAAGAAAGAAAGAAAGAAAGAAAGAAAGAAAGAAAGAGAAGGAATTGTTTTCTACTTTAAACAAAACATCACCCCACAAATGACTACAGGCAACCAATCAAGATTAGTCATGAAGAGTAAACAACTGAATAAAACAAAACCTGATCAACATGAAGTGAAAACTGATCAATGAAGAGATAAACTTGATTAAAACATAGTTTCAAACACCAATAACCCAACATCAGTAATAAGCTATGAAAGCAATAGCTGAACTCAGAAAACACAATAGTTGATTGTAGCAAAGCACTCACTAAAAATGCAGAAAGTTTTGGGGAGGCATAGCTCAGAGGCTTGAGCACTGGCCTGTTAAACCCAGGATTGAGTTCAATCCCTGTGGAAGCCATTTGGGGTAAAAATGTGTCAGGGATAGTACTTGGCCTTGCTGTGAAGGCAAGGGACTGGACTCAATGACCCTTTCAAGGTCCCTTCTAGTTCTAGGAGATAGGCAATCTCCATTTAAAAAAAAAAAGTTAATGATCAAACTGATTAAACCAATAATCACAGTCAAAAAAGCAGAAAACCAGTCACTGAACCTAAAAAGTCTCAGGGGGTGGTTGTATCAGTCTGTAACTTTCAACCCAATGTGCAGTCTGGTGGCACCTTAGGGTGTGTCTGCACTACAAGGGGATTTCAAGATAAGCTCTTTGGACAAATGACCCCAGAAATAACTAGTTGAAAAAAGCCAGGCCACCCTGCAGGGAAGCCTCAAAATGAGTCCCAAGCAGCTCCCCTAGGGTGTGTCTAGACTACAGGGTTTTGTGGACAAAAGTGGACTTATGTCGACAAAACTATACCTGCGTCTACGCTACTGCCACATTCTGTTGACAATAAGTCGACAAAAATGTGGCAGTTTTGTCGATGGCGGTAAACCTCGTTCTACGAGGAATAACGCCTTTTTTGGACAGAGTTCTGTCGACAGAAGGCGCTTTTGCATCCACACCGGGCTTTTCCAAAAGAAAGCGTCTAGACTCTTTTTCGAAAAAATGGGCTTGCTTTGTCGACAGCACTGGCTGTAGTCTAGAGACTCTAGATGCTGTTTTTCGACAGAGGCTTTGTCGACAGTATCTGCCAACACTGTGTCTGTCAAAAATGGCGCCCAGTCTAGATGTAGCCGTAAAGTGGACGCACCACCTCGATTTAGACTCCCAGAGGCGCTGGGCAGTAATTACTTTGCCTGGCCTGGGGAGAGGCTGTTCTGAAATAGCAGCCCTGTGGCACCCACACGCCTGCTATTTCGAAGTCGCTGTTTTCAATAGTCATGTTATTCCTTGTGAAATGGGGGTTTATTATTCGGGACTAAGAAGCCTGTTTCTTCTCACTCACTGGTTTGCTGGGCGGATGTTCCCTTTAAATCGCTGTTCGGAACGGTCCCTCCCACCTGGTGCAATGAGGTTTGCAGGGTGTTGGAGCAGCGAGCCCGTTACAGATCTAAATAGCGGGTGCGCTCAGAAGACACAGACGAGCTATTTCGGGTACCTCCAGGAATGGCGCTGCCGTGTGGGCGTGGCCTTAGGGGGCATCTGCACTGCGCCGTTATTTCCAGAGAACTCGCGTTATTTCGAAATCACCAAGCGAGTGTCCCCCACCCCCCTGCAATCCCGGTGTTTTGAAATCACGTTGAACTAACGGGCGGCTTGTTCCCACGTCTGGAACCCTCCCTCCGCGAGGAATCGCGCCTCTTCCCAATAGCCACTTCGAAATAGCGGGAGTGTGGATGCTCAGGGGTGCTACTTCGAACTAACCTCTCCCCCGGCCATTCTAAGCAACTTCTCCCAGCGCCTCCTGGGGCTCTAAATCGAGGTGGCGCGTCCACATTAGGGGAGCTGCCTCGGATTCATTCTGAGGCTTCCTGCAGGGTGGATACGATTTCACACTAAACCGTTTGGAACGGATCTGCCATTAGATTGTACGGGCACAGCCCATGTCGGAATATGAGTTTGAGAGGAGAAAAAAAAACAGAGATCCACGATCAGAATGATAACGGACAATGGAGAGGATGCAAAGGGAGGGGAAACACGGACCCTGTCACTATTACGACTGTACTGCCACTGACAGGCGAATTTTTTAGTTTCCTTTCCCTTCCCAAATGGTCTGGGAATTTCCTCCCCTTTTCCAGTCCTCCCACTGCCCGGACTCGAGTCCCCCACCAGGGGCCTGGCCGGCAGGTGAGTGTCTGGCGCGCTGGGTATCCCCTGCCCCACCCACCTCCAGGTAATCGGCCTCCATCCGCGTAAACTGGCCGGAAATGTTAAAGATCTAAAAAATAATCCAAAGAAAAAGTTGAGTGTTCCCTCCCCGGCTGAGCGCTCCCTCCCATGTGCCGTTCCTTGTAGCACAGCGCCCCCTGCTGGGCCCCTGCCCCCTCCCTGCAGCACAGCGCCCCCTGCTGGGCCCCCACTCCACTCCCTGCAGCACAGCGCCCCCTGCTGGGCCCCCCCTGCTCCCTGCAGCACAGCACCCCCTGCTGAGCCCCCGGCCTGCTCCCTGCAGCACAGCGCCCCCTAGCACTGCACTGGTCTGCTCCCTGTAGCACAGCGCCCACTGCTGAGCCCCTGGCCTGCTCCCTGTAGCACAGCGCCCCCTGCTGAGCCCC